CCAGTTTGACCTTACATTTGGAATTCACTTAGAATTCACTTTGAATTCTCACTTTAGTGTATAACCATGTGCCAGTGTTCATTGACATTAAAGAAAAAGAAGAGAAAGGGACACTGGTATCCATGGTGGTGGGGAGAAAGAATAAGAGTATAAGAAAAGAGAAGGGTAAAAGGAATGGAGATGAAATAAAGGAAGATGGAGATAAATGTTGACTAGAGAAATTCAATAGAGAATTGTAGAGGACTTATATTAAAAGATAGGAGGACAGAGGCTGAGTGGCATGAAAATAAAGTATGATAAATTGATCCTGGTACAAAATTAGGTTAGCTTAATGGTTAAGAATGGCATATGACAAAATGGAACGATTAATGAAAGACAACTAAGGTTAACGTAAGATAGGATAGTCGAGAGATGTCAACCATACAGTGGTATAGAGATGGACTGGTGCAAGTTTGCGGGGAACTGCCATAAGAAAAGGAAGAGGGTACAGGAAAAAATAACAGTAATGAGAGATTATGCAGGTTTGTCTGCATATATGGAAGCAAGGTGTCACCTTTTGGTACGCAGCTGGACAAATATTGATTCTGTGCATCATACTGGTATCTTTTCTGACACAAACCAATTCATTCCTGTGTCTCCTTATACCTGTCCTTTTTTCAGAGCCTCAACAGTCTGTATCATTATCATTATGGGTATCATGATATGATACCAACTAATAGAACTTGACATTAGGGCATTTAAGACCACTGTTTGTTCCTCGCCCCATTATGGTCCCTGATACTTGAGAAGCTGTTTCTAATTTCTACTTGATTATTCTTTTTGACAACTTGGCTTTATTTATAGCAATTATATATCCTGCCCCACCATTTTCTTGTCTTTGTGTGCCCTACTTTTCATATAACACTCACTTTTGGTCTGCCCTTGTTTTACCTGTTTTCTTCATTGATTTGCCCTTCTGTGCAACGCTTATCCAAAAAGGACAAACGGCTTGTGTAGCATGGACACACTGGCTTTCTTGCCAGCATGCCGGCATCTTGACATAGTGATGTCAGCCACTCCATTCCTATATTTTTGTGGTGTGGTTGCTATGCTTGTGAGAGCAGAAAGACCGCCTATGGGATGTCTTTTCTACTTTTCCTTGTCAGTGGAATTGTCAATGCCGAACATTTTGCAGACAGTTGGGAAAAAGTTTGTTTTTTCTCCCAAACTATTAATTTGCTGGCAAAATTGCTAGCACAGTCTATTGACATAATTTCATGCTTTAAAAAAAGGAGACATTTGCATAGACGATAGAGGTGATAATAGGAGAAATGTCAAACAGGGAGATGTTATATCATGGAGAGAGGATGATAAGAAAGGTTGGTACGTAGAAAGTAAGGCTAGGGCTAACTGGCATGAAAAGATCATCCCATTCCTGCTTAGTACATTCAGAGAAACTGACGGAAACAGATTCAGGGATATGTTAAACCTGACAACGCTACATTAACAATAGTGTGCAGTTTAATCTTTTCATTTTTATAACAGGAGTTATAGAGCAGCTTCCTAATGGCTATGATTTAGTTCATGATTTAACTATTAAGTGACTAAAATGCTCACAACCTCTGAGAAGGTCTGACTCTGATCTGTAGCTTTTTAATATAAACAGAGCATTTAGCACCCCTTATCCAGAGTAATATCTAATTTTGTTACACGTAGTATCTTGTTACATTTTCAATATAGAGAAACACCGTAGGGGGTCTTGATGACTGCACACATACTCATCCCCTTGCACACCTAAACTTGGTGATCTCAGTACTTTTCCTTATTAAACCATCATTTGTATATCTACTCCTTCTTTTCCATAGTTCTGGTATTTTTTCGGTAATTTCTCAATCCTGTATTTATACTGCTCACTGAAAGCAAACAGACCCTGCCAAACTTCAGACTATATCCCCTTTTTATTGCTGAATTCCCCGTTAAGCATCCTTGTGTATTTAACTCTTTCCAGGCGTGAAGGGAGAAGAAGATGCACAATATCAGCAGTATACAAACACATATACAATTACACCACTTTGCATAAGAATCCCATTTTCTATTATCATGTTTATTTCTCTAAAAAAAAAGCTAACCAAAACATAAATGTGTAGTTATCTTTCCAATAATTACAAATGCGGAATTTGGTTTGCATGAACTTGCAAAAATTGTGGAACTGTGTAAACTGAGGCCTCACTGAGATCTAAGTACATCTGGAACAATTTGGCTATATGTATAAAAAGAACTGCACAGTTGACTCTAATAAATGTCCTTATAAATTTCACTGAAACAATGCTGCTTTTGTGTATTTCGAATTTAATGCAGAGGCCACAGCCATGCAGGAAACAGAGATCTAGGGATCTGTGGATCAAGCAGGGAAATAAGTTTCATGCCATTAAATTCATTATACTCATTCAGCTCTTAGAAACCATTTCAAAAGTTTAGAACGTTGTATTATAAACTCCACGCCGAGGGTTACCATCAAGGGTTTCAGTCTGGAAAGCAAGCAACACAGTTAAATTTACTTAGAAGTGAAGATTCTTATTTATTGCATAAAGACCCTTCAGGAGAGTGAAAACAAGTCTGCACCGTCCATGAATTATTGCCAGAAAGACCTCTGCTCACATGTTTACCATTACCCCAGATTGTTCCATAGACTTGTAAAAGGCTCCTGTGTGAATAAAAATGGATTAGATACTGCCAGTCTATTTTCTGATTTGAGAATATATAATTTAAAATTTTTATTATACCTCCATATTCTTTAAAATTCTTCTCAAATTAGCCATTGGGGACAGTGGTAGTTTACTAGTTTTTATAGATATCCTTAATATTGTCTACTGTGTAAATAAAACCTTGGTCTATTGTAGTTTTTCAAACAATGTGTGGACTATAAGTATGTTTCTGTTGGACTATCCTCATATTTTATTCCAGTAAATCTAAGCTTGTGTCCCCCAATGAATGTGTGTTGTGTCTGATCATTGTAGAGCATTTTTAAATAAATATATTTGTAATAATAATAATAGCAATATATGTTACTTCCAAAGCATTAACATGTAGCTTAGTAGTGCTACAATGATGTACAGTGAATATAAAGTTATAAGGAAATCTTACCTAGAAACCAAGACTGTTCATATACAATACTTGTGTTTTTTTTCAATTAATGTTGCAAACTCTTGTGTGTATGTGTGGCTAAACATTTGTGCTGTGTATGTCCATGATTAAGTTTATAGAGTTTATTTTCTACAGTGTAAGTTTTAAGGAATTTACAATTAATGTGTAGAATTTCTGCCAAAACAGATAAAAGCAGAAAAAAAATACATTTAGAACAGAAAGGTGAACAAAAACTAATGTGAGAATATAAAGAGCATTGAACTGGACCATCGGCCAGAGAGCCGGATGACATTGCAGGAGGAGTCAAGAGAGTTTTGTTACTGGAGGAAAGGTAAGTAGGAGGCCTTTTATTCAACCTTTTAGTGAAAAGAGGGGAAGGGAGCCCCTAAAACTAATCAGACACTAGGGCACATTAGTGTTTGGAATACAGGTATTCCTAAAGCTATAGTTTTCCTTCAATTTTGTTCTAATTCAGGGATACAAGGATATGCTTCATATTAAACCACTGAGATGTCTCACTGCTAGCAGGTTATGGGTAGGTCTTATACACCAGTGATAAGATAAATCAAGCCTTGGATATAGTTAAGAAATTATTAAAATAATGCGTGTGAATTTTTATTGTGAAAATGTTTTTCATGTTTAGAATATGTGAACAATTGGAAAGGCAAAACAACTAGCATATTTCCTTTATAACCTACATACAAAAGCATAGAAACCTATAAAAAAAGCCTCAAATGTTACACAGCCTAAATATACTTAAAGGGACACTCTAAGCACTAAAACCACTTCATCTTAATGAATTGGATATGGTCCATATACTCTATCCCTTTTCTCAGACATTGTAAAATATTGCAGTTCCTGAGAAATGGCAATGTTGACATTTGTTTGAGAGTCAGCCTGGAGTGGTTGTCAGGCAGACAACCATAAGGCGCCTCTTCCTCCTTAAGACCTCAAAAATTGAAAATGTTTATATTCAGCTTCATCACTTGCTGAATGCTGTTAATGCTTCTCATAGTGGAGCATTAGATTCCCTCAATGAGTGATCTTCTGCTAGTCTCTAGTCAGTCAATCCTCAGCATACGTGCTGTGCTGTCATCATGAGGAATTGCTTAACAGGTGAGAGCAGAGACCATATCTTTTTTTTTTTTAGATCTATTGGAATATCTATACTTTGCTAAAAGTTCTCCTTCCACAGTGTATAGATGAAAATGTATCCTCTTTAACTTAAAGTTGTGTGTTCCATGACATACATATACTTTAAAGTGTGTTCTAAAAAATGTGACTAAGTAATAATGGGTTTGACAGGTGCACTTTAGGGTAATTCTGCATGCATGGTGAAAAATAACTGTAATGTATAGGACAGAGTCACTCAGTAAGGTGTTGCTAAGCTAGCAACCACCCAGAAAACACTATAATGACTTACATTTTGTAAATACATTATCATATCACTGTAGCTCAATATTTAGTAGCCAAATCTCCCAATCCTTTGATTGTTACATTTTTTTTCAAATCTTTTCACACAAGATCAAAATGAGATACAGACTGAGGTCAGCGAAGGCCCAATCTGGCTGAAATAGGGAATCCATCTTTAATGCTTGGAGAGAGTTTTAATTTCAAACGTGAAATAAGCCCTTCTCTTATTCTTAGTATTCGTAAAAGAAATACTAAAAAACCCAAAACAAAACAAACATTGATTATGTATCAAATGGGAAGAAAGAAAATAATGACAATGGTAATGATATCAATTTAAGCAGCAAGTTTATTTTACTCTGTACTTGGAATGGATTTCAAATTATAACCCTGGAAAAATCATTTTTTTGGTTTGTATTCTTTTTGATAGTGCATAGCATAACAAATAGACAGACAATAACATTCCACAAGAGTATAAACATTGCATAGGAATAAAGTTGTTAAGAAATGTCAGTATACAGCCCATTGTATAATATATGAGAGACAAGTTTAGGAAAGTGTACATGTCAGCAGAAGATTGTAGGAGAAAATGTCAAAATGCATATACTGACAGGAGGATGAGCTATTATTGCCACTGGGCTGGGAAGCAAGAAATGAGGAAAAGAAACATCATGAGCTAAGTAGCAAAGTGACAGTTTGTGCAGAAAATCTGGCCACTCAGCCGATGCCCGCAGATGGGAGGCTATGGGCAGTAGGAGTTGTGAGTTCGTTCTGGCTCACTAGCTCAGTCAATGCCTGATATAACTTTTGGTTGGGAGATCCAGGTGCTCCACGCAGCAGCCTCAGCCGTCCACGCTGGAAGTCACCTAGCCTGCAAGTGTTAGGTGACTTCTCACTCTCACTTTCCTGGCTGAACGCCGACGCCTCTTTCGGACCGGACGAAGAGCTGCGACCCATTAATTTCAGGCTTTGGGACCAGGAGTGCATGGGTAGTTAGTGTAGGAGGTGCAGCAGCTTGTATGCGGGCAGCCAGCCTCTCGCAAAACAATTGGAAAGTCTTATTCAGTTTGCCCAGCGCATCCAACTCCCCACAACATGAATCAGAGGAGCACACAGCCGTCGCCATTTTGTATGCCACTCAGTATCTTGGCTTGTGTAATGGGGTTGAACCACAGCTCCACCAGTGACAGGTAAATACACCCTGTTCCAAATTATTATCCAAATACTATTTAAATGTCACAAAGATTAAATATTTTGTTTTTCAGTTTAACTCATGGATGGCATTGTGTCTCAGGACTCTTTTGATCAATGAAAACAATCTCGGACACCTGTGATAATTAGATTGCCAGGTGAGCCCAATTTATGGAAAAATTACTAAAGGAGGGTGTTCCACATTATTAAGCAGAGTACCATTTTCATGCAATATGGGGAAGAAAAATGATCTCTCTGCTGCCGAAAAGAGTGAATAGTTCAATGCCTTGGACGAGGTACGAAAACATTAGATATTTCACGAAAACTTAAGTGTGATCATCACACTATTAAGAGATTTGTGGCTGATTCAGAGCACAAACGTGTTCGTGCAGATAAAGGCACATTGAGGAAGATTTCTGCCAGATCCATGCATCGGATCAAGAGAGCAGCTGCTAAAATACAATTACATAGCAGCAAACAGATATTTAAAGCTGCTGGTGCCTCTGGGGTCCCACGGACATCAAGGTGTACAGTCTTCCAGAGTCTTGCAACTGTGCATAAACCTATTCGGCCGCCACTAACCAATGCTCACAAGCAAAAACGGCTGCATTGGGCAGAAAAATACATGAAGACTAATTATTCAACAGTCCTGTTCACTGATGAGTGCCGTGCAACCCTGGATGGACCAGATGGATGGCTGCAATGTCAGCAAGGCGGTGGTGGAGTCATGTTTTGGGCCGGAATCATGGGAAGAGAGCTGGTCGGCCTCTTTAGGGTTCCTGAAGGTGTAAAGATGACCTCTGCAAAGTATGTGGAGTTTCTGACTGACCACTTTCTTCCCTGGTACAGAAGGAAGAACTATGCTTTCTATAATAAAATCATCTTCATGCATGATTTTATGCTGCAAAGAATACCTCTGCATCAATGGCTGCTATGGGGATAAAAGGAGAGAAAGTCATGGTGTGGCCTCCATCCTCCCCTGACCTCAATCCTATTGAGAACCTTTGGAGCATCCTCAAGCAAAAGATCTATGAGGGTGGGAGGCAGTTTACATCCAAACAGCAGCTTTGGGAGGCTATTCTGACATTTTGCAAACAAATTCAAGCAGAAACTGTCCAAAAACTTACAAGTTCAATGGATGCAAGACTTGCGAAGCTGCTATCAAATAAGGGGTCCTATGTTAAAATGTAACGTGACCTGTTAAAATGTTTAAAAAGTTAAAATGTTGTTATACGTTTGATTGAAATAGCTTTTGATTTCAGTAAATATGCTGCAAACACAACAAATGACAATTTTCAGTTCTTTACACCCTATAAAGTGTTTTGAAACTTACTGTGCGTAATAATTTGGAACAGTGCAGTGTAAGTTTTTTATGTTTAAAAAAAAAATACTGTTATCATTAGGAGGTTTGTTCAATAACATTTGAATTGTACTCTTAATAGTTGATAACATGAAAATTATGCTGACTGTTATTTACATCAATTATTTAGGTAAATGAGAAAAATATCATTTGCATGATAATTTGGAACAGGGTGTAAAGCTTGAGTGCTGGTGGTGAGATAACACCCAACGGCGGGGGGGAGGAAAACGGGTACCTTTACTGCGTTCACTTTTTCCAGTAGAGTGCTCAGCGGGGAGATCATCCGCCTCTCCCACATCCGCACCCACAGGTAGGCTGCAACACCACTTCGGGTTCAGGCTGCTTGGCACGCGGCAAAAACGCTTCAAAGGAAGGCAGATTCGTATGTAGGGTGTCCCCAGCTTGTAGATTGTCAGGTTTTCTGTGGCAAAACATTGATTTATTCGCATTAAGCAGGTTTCTTACACAGAGCTCTCTCTGCATGCGACCAGACAGCTTGGCAGCCAGGATTACCCCCAAAATAATTTTTATTTTAAATACATTTCTGGTTTGAAACAACTACTAATTTTATTTCTTTTTCAATAGCTGTTTTAGTTTTTCTGCGGAAACATTCTTGTTTTTCAATTTCAGGTGCGACTGGACATTTGCATCTAATGAATCCTGGTGACTTCCACAGTGAAATATATAAAATAGTATATGGTGGAATGGGAGATCTATGATTTCTTTCAGTTTTATAAACCACCCTGTGGCTGCTCGAGAAGGACATCTGCTTCATTTCCTTTTTTTCCAAGGGATTCACATTTTTGGGAAACCGATTAGCACAGGGAAGCCTTGTTTATCTTATCTGAGTCGAGTTCTTTCTCAAATATTTATACAGGTGTCATCAGATTATATACAGTGTCTGCAAGGGTGCTTAAACTGATAATACTATGTTTTAATTCAATATTGTAAAATAATAATCACATAAATTAGCACATCAATAAACTATAATATCATCTGTCTTGAAATAATAATGTTCCTTATAGATTTTAGTAAGCATTAACTGCAATAGTTATAATGTCAATATAACTTTTATCCCCGTACAAGCCCTTCCATATATTTTGTGCAATTTGTTTTTGCATTTTAGCTCTTTTGCAACATAAGGATGTGTTTTGGAGCCATTTCTTTTCATTTGGATTAATTGCGTTAAAGATTGAACTCGTACTCAAACTAATGTGTCTTGTAATCTCTCCCTGGGCGTGAGAGCCATAGAGTGATATCGGAGATTCATGTTAACCTCTATCCAAGTTAATGTTATTTAAGGAAAAGCCAAAGTGAAATACCCATTACTGGAACTGAGAGAATCCCAGCATTAGCAGATAAGCTCTTTTCAGTGTGGAAAATATTGCTAAATTGCCTGGTAGTGTGGCGAAATGTAACAATACAGAACAGGAGGTAACTCTAAGGAATTATATTGCAATCAAGTTTACTAAAAAAACAAAACTATTTAATGATGTTAAAGGTCCTCAGAACAACTACAACTTATTGAATTTGTTTAGGCTTTTTGCTGTAAACACTGTCTTTTCAGAGAAAATGCAGTGTTTACATTACAGCCTAGTGATAACTGCACTGGCCACTCCTCAGATAGCTGTTAGAGATCCTTCCTGGGTCATGGCTGACTAAAATGCATGCAAACATTCAGTATCTCCTCCCTCTGCATGCAGACACTGAACTTTAAAACATAGAGATTAATTGACTCAATTAATCTCTATGAGGAAATGCTCATTGGCCAGGGCTGTGTTTCAATCATGCTGGCTCTCCCCCTGATCTGCCTCTTTGTCAGTCTTAGCCAATCCTACGGGGAGGCATTGTGATTGGATCAAGCTACCACTTCTGCTGCAGGCAGTGGGCAGGTCTAAAGGAAAAAGGCAGAAAGCCAGCAGCTCCAGACTTGAATACAAGTAAGATTTCTACATTTAGGGAGGCATGAGGGGGACAGAGGGGCTAGATGGTTGGTTTAACCCTATAGGGTCAGGAATACACGTTTGTGTTCCTGACCCTTTAGTGTGTCTTTAATAACTGATTTGTCTGTCTGTTCAACTATTTGTTATATTTGAATTCTCTCTGCAAGTGTAATTGTACAAACATACATATATATTGCTAAATTTAGGCAAAAGTCCCAAAGTGAGTTGCAGAATTTCTCCAATTTTAGGCAAATTGCACAATAAATTTGTTAACTTACTACAATGTAATTTTTAGCGAATATATCTCATATTCTCCAGATTATGTATATATTATTATATTCTCTCATATTCTGGAGAATTTTTATAAGCATAAAAATCAGATACAAGGGAAGAAAATGTAAGAGAACCATGTAAAACAAATTGTAAATGTTAGTTTCATGGTCATATTTTGCATTTTGAATGCTTGCATGTGCTTTCCCATCTTCACATTAATCAATCCTAGGTTATATAGTTTTAGCCATTTGACAGTTATTTTAAAAGTGTGTTATTCCCTTCTATTCATAGGTTACACAATGTTATCACCTTTAAACCAATGGAAAGCTGTGTTTTACCTGTTGCATCAATTCATGCAGCTACCAAAGACAAGAAAATTTTGTGCATTCATAGTAATCAGTCTTTAAAAATTCTACTCATGAATATTATAGTGGAATTTTCATAAAAAATACAAATATTTGTAGGACTAATGCACGGATTAGCTCAAATGTTATACTTAAGTCTTATCAACATGTAGAAAAATTCTCTAAATAAGCTGGGACACAGGTGACTGCTAAGGTGACTGCTGAGGTGAGTATATAAGGTGAGTGCATTAAACATGGACGCTCTTGTGTCTTCTTCCAGAATTGTGAATGATGACACCATTTCCCTACAATCCTTTGTGTGGGATCATCCACTCTTTCATAGGACTAAACTAAAGAGGGGAATAAGTCACCTTACTGGCACTTCATCAGAGACTTGAAGCACTTATTTACTCTCTGTGTAGAGGAAAAGATGTCATGACTGCCTCCCCAGGAACCAGAACACATTCAGCCACAAGGCATGCATAGAATCTTAAACTGCCATTTTTTGTATTCACCAAATAAAATATTTTTTGAATTCTGTTAAAAAGATAAAACATCCTCTGTGAACAAATGTATATGGAACATATCTTTTACAAAAGTTAATGCATGGTTATTATGTGTTTGCTAAATTTAATTGATCGAGAAACAAAATAAAATGGTAAATGTGCCATATTCAGTTTTGATACCCTTGCGTTGATCCATTAGTGATTTCTTTCTACGGTCTGAAATCCTTAATTGCTATATTGACTCATTAGGCCTTGATCGTAGTCTAGTGGGAACAGTTCTAGATATTAATAAATTGTCCGACTGTTGCAATCTCTCAAGGCTTACATTCAGCTCCCATGGGCTCCTTTAACCTCTTAAGGACCAAACTTCTGGAATAAAAGGGAATCATCACGTGTCACACATGGCATGTGTCCTTAAGGGGTTAAATGGCTGACTGTAACAATATACAAATTATTGACTCTTACAAAACAGGGGATAGTTATAAAAATATATTTAAATGCTTCCTTCTTGCAGTTTCCAATGTCCAAAATGTCAATAGGAAATTGATGCTAAAAGGCACTATTAGTCTGGAAGACCAAGACATTTTTTAAGAAGAACTATTCATCAGCTGGTGAGGAAATGAAAACAAATCCCCCATATAACTGCAAAGGCCCTTCAGATTTATCTGATCATGGGGTAACTTTGTGCTGGTCCACTGTGCAGCTGGTTCTAGTAACCCTCTGTACATAGTGGAGGATCTATTATGCTATGAAGTTGGCTGTTTTAAATATTTTAAAAGTAAAGGGAATAATGGATTCTACTAAATATCAACAAATCTTGGAAGCTAATACCCCACAGTTAGTGAAAACTGACAGGTGAAAGAGGGTTTGATATTCCAATCAGATAATGATCCAAGAACACGCACAAATCAACCATTGAGTACTTCAAAAAAAGAAAAGATTAAGGTTTTGTAATGACATTCGCAAACCCTAAACTTCAATATTATTGAAAATCTCTAGGCTGATCACAGACAGACACAACATAAAAACATTTCTGAACTAGAAGCATTCTGGAGGAAGCGTGGAGTAAGACAACTGAAGCAAGAGAAGAAGGCCTGTTAGATGGCTGCAAGTAGTGTTTGGATGCTGTGATTCCTGGCACAGGTGGAGTTTAAAGTACTGAATTATAAGGTCTCCAAAATTTTGCATGTCACATGTATGATTTCATTTTTCAGTAAGTTACATTTAGCAAATAAATACTAACTAAGCATTTGCATTTTTTTTCTTTTTTTTCACTGGAAAATGTTATTTTGTCAAAGGCCCCAACTCTTTGTACACAAATGTATTTTTTTTAATTTATGCCATGTTTATTAAGAATAAAATAGCGTGGTCTTAATTTAAAGCATTGGTGATAGTTCTAGTATTCAGAGGTGGTCTGTGCTAGTTAGTGTCTCTAGAAAAGTCCTATGAAAATGTAGGTCAGCGTTTACCATGATAATCATTTGGCTTATGAAGGTTTGTAATGAAAAAATAAAAATGAAGACTAAATAAAGCTTTGTGAAATATTCTCTTTACAGTATCCTGTGCAGTATCTTGTTCTGTGTTTATAAGGATGGAAGAAGCAAATTGTGTTTGACTTCATTATGTTACAACCAGGGCCAGCTTTAGGGGTGAGCAAGCTGTGAGGCCACACAGGGCGCCATGGAGGAGAGGGCACCATGCGGCCGCACAGCTCGCACATGGCTGGGTGACAGGAGTGCAGAGGGGGAGCTAAATCAGATACCCTGGTGGAGGATTAATTATTCTCCACCCCGGACTATGAAAGAAAATAGGATGGCAGTGGGGGCAGGCTTACATTTAATTGGGGTGGAGCTTGCGAGTGGTGGAGGCATGGTTAAATAGCTGCAGAGGCGGAGCTAAAAATTCCCAGAAGCTCCTGGTAACTGCTGCACAGGAAGGGGGAAGCAGGAAGGAGTCCCTGCTTCCCCAACAACTAGGCTACAGCTGCACTGCCTCCACTCCTTCCTTCCAGCTATAGTGGAAAGAGGTAAGTGTGTGTGTGTGTGTGTGTGTGTGAGAGACTGTCTGTCTGCGTGTGTGTGTCTGCCTGTGTGTGTGACTGCCTGTCTGTGTGTGTGACTGTCTGGCTGCCTGTGTGTGACTATCTATCTGCGTGTGTGTGACTGTCTGCCTGCGTGTGTGTAACTGTCTGCCTGTGTGTGTCTGACTGCCTGTGTGACTGCCTGCCTGTGTGTGTGTGACTGTCTGCCTGTGTGTGTCTGTAACTGTGTGTTTGGCTGTAGCTGTGCCTTTATGTGTGTCTGTGCTTGTATGTGTGACTTCAACTGTGTGTGACTGCCTTTAACTGAGTGAGTGTGTGTGCATGCCTATCTGCGTGCGTTAGTGCCTGCCTGCCTGTAACCAAGTGTGTGTGACTCTCTGCTTTTAACTGAGTGTGTGTAATTGTCTGCTTGCGACCACACATTATTGCACATGTCTATAAAACATGTCCCCTGCCTCAGCATTTAACATCTGCATTGAAAGCAACTTCACCTCTGCTGTGATAAAAAGGGTTAAAGGAATAAAACAAGGCTAGTATGGCTAAAAAGAATGGTAGATGTGTATTTGGTGACTTGCTTGCATGGTACTTTTACTGTGCCATGAGCCTTTACTTTTTGATGGTTTCCAGCTCTATAATTAATTTAAAAAAAGGATGTAACTGAAGCTGTGTGATGTTACTTTTCATACAAGTGAAGGCATAGGAGATACATATATACAATCTATAAAGAGCAATATCATTAGGCTTGTTAGAACCATTTGCAATATTTAAGTAATTTTTTTTGTGTGTGAAGGAGGCTACGAGCTGTATGTGGTGGGAGGCTGAGTATGCCTTTATGTGCTGGTTAAGTGATATATGTGTTGTGACCAGGGCCAAACTGGCCTAACGGGATACCTGTAAATTCCTTGGCTGCTTTGTGTTCCCAGTCCGACACTAGTAATGGCTGAATCTTGTGTGTGAGAGAGAGTATGAGTGTGGCTGAGTGTTCTGTGTGTTGTGCCTGAGTGGGGCCATAGTCAGACTCTCCTTGCCTTTGCATGTGTGTGTGTATGCAGGAGTGTGTTTTACTGAATGTTGCTGTGTGTGGATGCATTGTTATATTTTAAGCAGTATGTGTGTAGCCAAATATTTGTTTCCGAGTGTCACTGTCTGACTTCATCTTTCTTCATCCCACCACTTTAATCTCCCCACTCACTTTTCTCCTCCAAGCCACCTCTTCCTACTTATGTCTCTATCTCTATGGAAACCTGTTTATCTCTCCTGTCACCCACCCACTTGTTGTTCCCCCTCTATTTCACTTCCACTTATCTGTTCTCGGGTCACATATAAAGAGTTTCCCTAGAGCTAATCCTCCTAGCAAAGACAGATTGCAGCCTTTAGCATCTTTGCCATCCACGTAAGAATCACAGGGCCCTTAATTCAGATCTATTGATCAACCCAACCTCCCACAAACTCTCCTGAGGCCATGCCCCTGACTGCCACCGTCTCTGATCCATGACAGAAGTGTCCGGGTGGTCAGTTTGCTTTTGGCCATCTCACATAGTTGAAACCGCCTATGCTGATTTATGGGTAATCCAGCGTTGTAAGTCTATTACCATCTTGCTATGCCACAGATATCTTATATAATACACAACTCTAGAACATACATTTACATGTTATTTGTCTTTGACATTAATGTTTGTTGTCTTTATTGAACAAGTAATGGTTTCTCTGTGAGCCCAAGAAACAACTGTCCTGTATTGTGATAAACTAGAGCAGGAATATCCGAAAGGTAGCATTCTTGCCTAAAACAATGCATCATGGGAAAAGCAGTACTTAAACAGCTGGAAGACTACTTGATTGGCTACTCATCAATTACAACTTTTTGGAATTATAATATAAACTATATTTTTACTATTCAAACAGAACTATTGTTTTCTTTCTTTCTTTCTAAACAAGCAGTTAAGTTAAAGAAACAAGGATTGTCTTCCGTTACCCCTAATACATTTATTTATCATTTCAGTTCCAAAACCCAACCTCCATGAACTAAATCAGAAATGGAGGTGAACAACAATGATCAATTTATCGCAGTTAATAAAATCCAGCTCTTTATCCTCTCTGCTGGAGAGTGTCCCTTTACTATTTCTTGTGTTGCATTGTTGTTTTATTAGGAATTTTGCAATCATTCGAGAAATTTATTTTTCCTCTGGAGGAGTATAAAGTATTTAAGTATTTTATTTTTTCCTTCTATCCCCAATCGAGGATCAGTTCACATGTGGTCATATTTGCCATATGTTGTAGTGTACAGAATATTTAAGTAATTTCTTCGGTAAAAGGATTTTTGGCAGAAGATGAGATATATAGGATTTATTCACAGCCTCTTTTCTCTGCTGTGACACAGATGTTCTGCATGTGCGTAACAGGAGTTGCTCTCAGTGCACTATAGCACTTGCAATGCTTTTGAGTGAACATTTGCATAATTATAGGAAGCTTATGTCACTATCAGAGTGATGAAACCCCTAGTTTAGCTATCACAACTTCCAAGTCATGTTTCATTTTTTTTTTTTGCACAATCTATTTTTAGCTTTGTATGGGGTTACTGCTTTCCCTTTAAAGAGGTGCTCCACAGCCTACCAAATGGAATCTTTCTGCTATCAGTATACTGTTCCGTTTTGGTAGGTTTTTCACACACAGGGAAATCTTCTAGCACATTTTTTTCCAGAGATTTTACAGAAAAGGAATAAGAGAAAAATAATAATTTACAAAACAGAAAATTGTTTATGTTCTGTTTTCTTTTTTTTTAACATAGGCACGCTTGCTACAGTAACGGCATAGTGTGGACCCAATGGCCTTGAGGTGTAGTTCTGACAGGTAACCTGAGAATTATTTGGAAATTTAAATTTAATTTTAATATGCTAATTTATTTTGGACTTACATTTGAAATCTCACTTTCAATTTCCGACAAAGGCTGCAGGCAGCAGATCTGCAGTTTTTGCAAGCGGTTTTTAGATATATCCTCAATTAAAACTTGCAGCAATAAATACACGTGTGTTTTCCATTGGGGTGCATCTACTAAATAGTTAAAAATTCCAATTGGAGTGTTGCTTTAATCCCTGGACAGTCTGTGTCTTATTATCATTTCCTACTATCAATCTTATTGACGTGTGCAGTCACAATCTGCACATACGTCTGCAATAAATTAAACAAATATGGTGTCCTGGTGTTTATTCATTCTTTTCTAAGAATATTGCTTTTAAAATGTTATATTAACAAGTATGTATTTGCTATTTGTTCCATAACTGTAAACTCACAGGTGGTTTGCTAGAGAAGGAAGATCACTGATCCATCCCTAGTAATAATAATAATTTTTCTGTTGAAAAAAACAATTAACCTATATGTTTAAACTGAGCTATGTTGCTGATTGGTGGAGGAAAATAGCATATTGGATATATACATATATATATATAGATATAGATATATATATATCTATATCTATATCTATATATATATATATGCAGCAAACACAAAATCCAAAGAATCCATGTTTAAAATGGAATAATGAGGCAAAAATAGGAATCTTTGTTGAACTAATTTGCATATGTCCACCCAGAATCCTTTGCAGTAGTAACATCACTGCAAGTTTTAGATTTCTGCGTGAAAAGCAAGTCTTATGGCTTGACTGGTGTTTAATAATGGCTATATATATATGTGACCCAGCAGCACCCTATAATGAATGCATGTTCAGGTGAGGGCCCACATACAAAATCCAGCGGACTTGCTCATTCACTAAACACAATTTCAAGTCTCACAGAAGGTAATAGTTTTAGGCAAAAAATTATGGTGGTTTAGTTACAGTATATGATCATACATTTAATAGGCTTGCCACAATGTACCCCATTCTTGGCAGGTCCTACTCTAGCAGCCTGTCACATCAGCCCTGTCACAGGTGCCTCATTCAGGGGCCCTATTTACCCTTGACCTGCAGAGAGTCCTAGGAGGAAGAATTTCACAAGTAAGTGGATTAATCTCATAAGAGCAGGCATTAGGCTTCTAGAGTCACTGTCCAGTCGCTAATAAAATACAGGGAGCTGTTTGAAAATATAAAAGGAGTGAACTTGCCTT